GATTTTTGCCACGATCGAAAGCTGGCAATGCAGTCACATCGGAACTCTACTTTATTTAGAAACCAAATTCAGAAATGAACTTCTAACACGCATTTATAAATTTCTCTTCGTTTTAGAAAATGGAATTCCGTCCTACTTGAAATAACTAACTTAATGCGACCCTTAAAAATGGGTGAGAATGCAGGTACTGCTAAATTATATTTTGAAGAGCGTTGTCATCAGGGATGTGTGAGAACTTTCACGATGAATAAACATCTCATAGTAGGAAAATCAGTTTGCTAATGCTGCAGTCCTGCCCAGGCAGACTGTGTGGTTGAAAACGCCGGTGTCCATGAGGTTCGATACACATTGAATTTCCTTTGCTATGTGCTCGATACCATTCTCGCCTCCATTTTATTAAAAAGGCCGTCCGAAAGAGGACTATTTATGGAACTCTTATTTTTGTATCGTCTACTCAGATCGGGAGGAATTAGCAGAAATAAGGAACGCCCTATACCAACAGGAACGAGAAATGGCCAAACTGAGCGAAACGGTTAATCGCCTACTAACAGTTCCTCCTGGTGAGTTTTGTCTCCATCGTTTTGATTTCTATCTGTACTACAGTTTTCATTCGTTGACAAATGCCCACCGATTGCTAAAGGAACGCACTCGTCCCGTTCTACTTTGGGGTCCACTCTTGAGCCCCGCCACCAGCCACATAGTGGCTGTAGTGTAGGCAGATTAAAATTGTCGGTAAAGACAACGGAGACTGGAATGGCCATTGATCCTTACTAGCCGTCATCTGCCAGTCACGCCCAATGAGTGCCAATATTTGTGATATAAATCGGCAAGATAAGTGGCCCGTGGTTCAGTTGTTAGAGCGTTGGACTTTTTATTGACAGGTCGCGGTTTCAGGCCTCGAGTGGTACACCATCTGGAGTTGGGTATGACTAGATGGTGACAATTCATGAATTAGAAATGGCCAATCCCGTCTCCTATTTCATTCCATTCGTCGCAAATTTATTGTCTCGCCTCTCTTCAACCCGGAGTTTCTGCGCCCAATCACCCGTTTACAGTCTCCTAGCGCTGGTCAGTTATCTATCAGACGGCTAGTCAAAAATGCATAATACTTTTTGTGTAAGCCTTTCTCGAAATAATTGAATGCTTAATTTCCTGGCTTGACGTATGATTAAGAAGCTTGTTCTACCAAAGTCGTATCTAATAAAGCCAAGCTTCGTTGAGGTGTAGCAGCTTGTATGTAGGTTGCCGGTTTGGTAATATATGTATTTAATTTTCTCAGTCGATTAACTTGTATGAAGAGAAAATTGGCCGGGATGACTTGCGTGACCGCCTAAACAGGACATGGGAACAGGAACCGCTCATAGTACATGTGGCTTTACGTCAAAGTCCCGGAAATTTGAGAAATTTGAGATTTCTACGATTACTGTCTGTCCTTTCAGTCGACATTTTTAGTAAGTCGCAGATGCCTCATTACTTTTGATTAACAAATGGAACACCAACAGTTGAACGTTTTGTCTAACAAAAGAGACTCTCACAAGTCCTCTTCCGACTTTTATGCTTGAGGCTGAGGAAAATAACGCACCTGTGCACGTACCTTGATTACAATTGTATCGCCAGAAACCATAAAAGTAAGCAATTCATCATCCTGTTCCAGGAACCGTCGATTTTTTCTGCCTTTTCAGGACGGCAACGCATTAACATCTTCACCTCTAACCTTATTATGGGCAAATTTCCGCCCCGCCCTTCTTTATTCTATTCTCCAGACAGGGTTACTGTTCTGTCATAATTGAGCTCATTTTAATCGCCATCGCCCTTCCGACTTGCTTTAGGGCTAATGACAGGCAAAAAATATCGTATTCTATGCATAAAACTTATACTTAGTTTTGGAGTCAAGTCATCTTATCATATAATGTAAAAAGCAAAAGTAAACAGGGCTCTGAAGAACGCCTCCTTAAATAGATCTAGCTAGATTTATATTTTTGAGGTATAGCTGCTCCCCACGGCTTTGATAAAGCTCTAGTGCTGCAGATTGACGATACCTCACTGCGCCACTTTCTAATTTATTTGAGGGTAAACAGTTTTCAGTACAATGACATTTACAGCCAGTTGAACGGCAACGAGTTTTAAAGCATCTGAAAAGGCACCTTTTTTGAAAATGCTTGTTCATTTGTGCAAACAAAAGCCATCTTTTTAATTATATATCTTGACCTAGAAAAGTAACTGAAGCCCGTAGTCAATGTGCCGATCTAAAATTGGGCTATTTACTAGCCTAAATGTATTAGAATTTATCTCATTAGATCACCACAGCGTAAGAAAAACTTAAAGGCTCACAGCTACGGGCAACTCAGTAATCTACCAGAGAATCAGTGTTTCTTTCAGCAACGGGCTTATGCTTGGTCGCTGGGGGCAAACCGAGGCCGAAAGAAGTAATTGGAGTCGGGGTGCGTCATAGACTGTAGCCGTTTATGAAGGATAAAAGTCTAGCTAACACATATAAAACCTCTCTTGTGGACTGATTTTAGCTTACTCCAGGGCACGAAGCAGTCTTTGATTTCCTAGGACGCATTTTACGACCACGATGACATCACTAATCCGGCCACACGCCCTGGTTTACCTTTCCACCCGCTCGGTTAGTTCAAGGTGCACTCGGCCGTTAAAGCGCTCCTTCCTGAACTAACTTTTTTGCACGCTCCATGGTGCTCTGTTTCCCTTTTCTACTACTTTCCCTATCGTTCTATCTACCCAATTTATCTATCCCTTTTGCTGGCGCTACACGAGTATATATGCTCCAGGTCAGGTTTGTCTCCAATCAGTTGTGAGTGTGAATTTGACGCTCGGTGTTGTCCTGCTGAATATCGTTCATTTGGGTGCGGTCCGGTTTCCGGGAGAGTGAAATTCAGATGTCTGTCTTCGCCGCTTCCCACCCAGACGTACGAAAATTGAGCATATCCGTGCCCGGCGGACATAGATGGTTCCGGCAGCAATCCGTTTCCTGGGCGTAGGTTCAGCCGGTTATAACATCTCGAAGTTCAGTCAAAATAGTTTCGCTTTGCTCCTGGAATGAATAGAAATGTTTAAGTCAGCTGCCTCTCCTTGCAACTATTTGCTTTCCCCTATTTTCCTATTCTCTCGTTAAATGGACATTGCCAAGTCTGAATGGGGGCTGAGTCTATGTAAAATCTCTTTTAGAATCCAGAGGCGACTTTCGATGGACTCTGTTTTTATCATAATCTATCCTTCTAGCTTCAACTTAAGTAAATGTTTTGTCTGTTGACAAAGCTATTTCTCCGAATCAATAGAAGCGATTTATCATCTCTATAAAACATTTTGTGAACGGTTTCTTCGCTTGGCGTCAACGACGATTTCGTACGTCAAGCACTTTTCGAATACATGTGTCAGCATTCGATTAATTCTGTTTTGGTGAACCAATTGTGCTGCGGTTAGTGCCTTTTTCCATATTTCAAAGTGCACTATTCTGGCTGCATTATGAGATACCGAACAATTTGATAATCTTCATGCTAACGTTAGAATTAATCGAAACACTGAGTCTATCCAGGTAATCAAGCCACTGACACTGACACACCTTCCCAGTTGTAAATACGTATCCAAATGATTTTAGTTAGCACAGTTTAGAACAGTAATTATTGTAGGCAGGATAGCATTATTGACAAGTACAAAGGAGCTTGGAATGGTCATTTCTAGCTCGTTCGTCACCATCAGCCAGCCACACGCAAAAGCACGCTTTGTAACTCCTGAGGCCGTTATGTGGGTGCTGGCAGGGCCCAGATTAAGCCCTAAGGCGGGACGGGACGAGTATGTCCCGTCACACGATCAGTGAACGCCCCCACTGGAACTGTTAATTTGATCGCGGCCGACAGGATAACCAGCCCGTGGCTTAATAAAGCGTTGGACTTCTAATCAACAGGTAGCAGGCTCAGGCTTCTGGAGTTTCAAAACCTAAGGTTGGGTGTGACTAGCTGATGATGACTAATAAACCAGACATGGCCATCCTCTCTCCTTTGTCTCTCGAAAATGTTATTCTGCCAATACTACTGCGGGATGAGTGTGTCCCGTAAATCAATCGGCGAATGCCCCCTTTACTTATTATTTCAGTAAGAACATTACGGCACCATTACTTGCGTTAACAACCAGGCAGGTATGAAAAACATTGCACGCCGCAGTGTAACGTGTTGGCCAGCATGCTGTGCATTGCAAAGCTAAAGTTGATTAATTTAGTACTTCACATAGTAGAAAGTACACAAAACGTTATGGTTGCTATAAAGAAGGCAAATGTCTATCAAAAATCGTGTTGTCAAGTCTATTTCACCTCCGAAAATGATACTTCTATCGAAAAAAAAAATTACAAACAGGAGGGCGCTGCTAAGCGGCTTGAAAAAATATGTAGAGGCACATTAACATCATGAAAATGCGCTTCAACGAGCAGTGCAGGTGACTCAGTTTTTACAAATGACTTAATTGGGAGAGCCGAAGTGAAAAGTTGTCAGAAAGTGTTTCAAAAATAGGTTCCAGCATGTAGTTGTAAACCAGTGCTTCGTGTGCTCATAATCCAAACGGAATAGAAATCACAGCGCTCAGCTTAATCCACAGAGATAATTGCTGAAATGGAGGAGATTTGGCAACCCTAGAAGTGATCTTTAGTTTTCTGTTACCGAAACACGCTTATAGATGTAATCTGAATCGCAATCGACAGGAAAAGGAGTAAAGTGAAGCATGTTTAAGTATGGTATTGTCTGTATTCCGAAGAGGCGTGACGGTTTTATGAAACGGGAAGGGTTGGCAACTAACTGGGTGCACAAGGCTTAAAAGCGAATGTGAACTAGAGGCATCGGTGCATGCAAACAATTTCTTATTTTTACCTTTGTTCACCCTTGATTTTTTAATAGCATACTTTGACTTGCCTGTTTCCCCATGGCTAACACTTTTTCTGCCTTTTACGTCTCCACTAAACATACTGTAGTTCAACTTCGCTTATTTTTTAGCGAACGCGAAGGTAGATGAGGTGGAACATTTGACTACTGGTGTTTCAACCATTCAGCATAGCTTAAACCTCGATCGCGGTCAAGGTAAGCATTTTTCGCGCACTTTCTTTGCCTGGCTGCTGCCTTGGTCCGTAGAATGTGGACTTAGTGAGCACGCGTGAGGAATAGAAACTTCTAGAAGAGCGGGTGTGGATCACTTTTTAAGATCAGTAGCCAGTAATTGAAAAGACTTATTACAGAATATTCGATGATGAACGCTCACCGATCGTCACCGGAACTTACTCATCCTGTTCCGTCTTGAGGCTCACTTAAAAGACCCCCCTCCCCCAGCAGCCGCACGGTGGCTAGTGGAGGCAGATAAACGTTGCCGGCATAGAAAAGAGAGACCGAAATGGTAATTTCTATTTCCTTAACCTTCATCGACCAGTCATATCCAATCCCAGGTGGTGTTACAACCGAGGCTCGAACTCGCGACTGGTTGATCGTAATTTGAAACGCTCTAACCACTGTATGGCTGCTGGCGGGACTCGAAAGTGAGTCCCAAGGCAGAACGGGATGGGTGAGTTCCCTTAACGATCGGTGAGCGCTCATCAACAAATATCGATATTCCCGATCTGAACTGGCAGCGAGCCCGTGGCTCAATGGTTAGAGCATTTGATTTCTGATCAACAGGTCGCGGGTTCGAGCCTCGAGTGTTACACCACCTGGAGTTGGGTATCGCTAGCCGATGATGGCTAATGAACCGGAAATGGTTATTTCAGTCTCGTTTGGCATTTCCAGCTGTGTTACTCTATCTCTCTCAGAGTAGTTGCGAGAATTCCCATCGAATAATTTAAAAAAATCATTCTGCGAACATTTTGGTGAATGCTCCTCAGGCCTTCAGATTTATGTCGTCATTTAAGTAAGTCAAGTATGCGGGTGATTAGAAAAAAAATCGTATGGGTGGGGGAGGAAACATAATTGCGATCAGTCATTTGATCAGCGTCAGAGAGATACTGGCCTCCCGGGAAAGTTAATTAGTTGCGGGCGGCTTTCAGCAAAAAATACTTCGCTGCGTTCTCTTCACTTGTACCCATCTCCTGTTGCCAGTAAAACACGTAAGACTTAGGAGTTTTTTCACTATCTGCTCTTCTTGCTCAGTTACACTGATGGCTCGTGTTAACTGACATCACCACATGTGAGTGT